CCAGTTGGACTATTTTGACCTAAAATGTAATAAAAAAAATATCACTTTTAATTTGCGAAAATTGTCACTGCCTGAGGCAGCTTAGTGAGGTAGAGGCTCTGTGCAGCCCACTTATACAAGCTATAAATGGAAACTGAAAGTACAGGCAGGGGGCGCTCATCTGCTGGCTTACTGGCTGCCATCTACGTGTAAAGAGGAAAAAAAAAAAAATATATAAAAAAATAAAAAAAATCAACACACAATAAGGAAGTGAACAGAAGCGGAAGTGGAGTCATCACCTACAACAACACTGACAGTATACAGACACTGCAACATCAGCGAGACCTGCTGCAATGAATAATAAAGGTAAGGGGGAGTCCTGGCACACAGACACTGACTGCCAGGGGTGGGGGGCACGGGGTGTCTGGGGGTACTTGTTATTAACCCGTGGGTGAGGGTCGGGGGGGATTTGGTGATTGATACATTGTGACACTGTCTGCAGGTATGGGAGGGCTCTGTGTGTTTGAAATGAGTGCTGGTAGTGGAGAGTGGGTTATAGTTACTGGGCTGGGGGGTCTCTCGGTGTCTGTAGCATGGGGCTGGCTCACACCTGCCCTGTTTACTGGAGTTTAGAGGAATTTGGCATGGTGGGTACATGAAGCCCAACCCAAAGGCAGGTACCATGATGCTTTGCTATTAACCCCTTCCTTGCCTCTCCAGCATCACACCATGGTATGAATAGTGTAGAATGACGCACCCACTGGACACTGGGTTATGTTCAATCCGAAGACGCTGACTAAGCAGTATGGATATATTGTGTAATGTCTATAGATAATGATGTATGCTTTGTGGCATTTCTAAACACTATAAGATATTGATGTCTTGTGACATGTCTGGCCATTTATAGGATAATGCTGAATGTCTGGACATTTATAGGATAATGCTGAATGTCTGGACATTTATAGGATAATGCTGAATGTCTTTTGGACGTCTGGACGGTAAAGAATAATGCTGGATGTCCTTTGGAATGTCTGGACATGCAATATGTAAACTATAGAATAATGCTGGGTATGTGATGGAATGCCTGTACACCACGTGGACTACTTTGTCTTAGTATATTTCCTACGCCTGACGCTTCTAGACATTGAGCGGAGGTACTGCTGTCTAGAAGTGTCAGTCCCCCCCTGCAATTGCCTTTATCTGTGGAGGATCCTGCAATCTTGACTGTTGTGCATGCGCGGATTACAGCAGTGTTATCAGCTGGCTAGGAGTTGAAGAGGATCTGCTGGAAGAAGATGGTGGTGCCTTTCCCTGACCCATGGCCACCGGACCCCCAGCGGCAATGTCACTATCAGGGGTCTTTGCAAATAGGTCCCCGGATAGTGAAAGTGTCCCTTTAAGGAAATATGCTCTGTTCATTATGGAATCTCTAAAAGAAAAGTTAAGAAATGACTAAGGTCTATATAATATTAAAGACGTTGGAGAATGTCTGAGCTATTGAATACCATTGCATATATTAAAATGCATTTCTAGGTTTTGTAATGCATATATAGGAAAATAGATTCCAATACCAGGATTCCTAATACCAATCAGAACCAAAAAGTGCGAAAACAGAGTGGTAAACTGCGCCACAGAGGAATACAAAGTGATTAAAAATATAAAAAATGGTATATACATATATGGTATATAATGGGATATTCCAGTAATATGATGGTGTATATAACCCTTAAACAGAATAAAATATAAACAATAATAGTGCAATATATATCCATAAAGGAGAACTATTTAAAAGACTAACTCACACTTTGCAGAGCTGCTAAGAGCTCTGCCGTATAGCGCCTGGACGGTACAATCCCCGTCTGGGATATAAGGATAATAGTGGGATGTAATATCCAATTCGCCACAGCCGTGTATATGTATGAAAACAAAAACACAAAGAAAATCCAATGGTACAGTATGTACTAAATACTTGTAATAAAAGAAAGGTATCTTACTTACAGATTCCAGAGCAATGACTTGCTCTGGTGTTGATAGCTTGTGGTGGTATGATCCCCAACAAGGGATATAGCAGGATCCAAAGTGCATCAGGAACAGGTAGGAAACCAGAGGGATTAGGAAAAAAAACCTGTAACTCTGAAGAAGCC